TCAAAATGGTCATCAACAAGTGGCTGAGTTACTCCTTAATGAAAAGGCGTGATCCTAACATTCAAGACAATGATGGCACGACAGCACTCATGTTAGCTAGTCAAAATGGTCATCAACACGTGGTTGAGTTACTCCTTAAGGAAAAGACTGATCCTAACATTCAAGACAATGATGGCAGTACAGCACTCATGTTAGCTAGTCAAAATGGTCATCAACAAGTGGTTGAGTTGCTCCTTAATGAAAAGGCTGATCCTAACATTCAAGACAATGATGGCATGACAGCACTCATGGAAGCTAGTCTAAATGGTCATCAACAAGTGGTTGAGTTGCTCCTTAATGAAAAGGCTGATCCTAACATTCAAGACAATGATGGCATGACAGCACTCATGGAAGCTAGTCTAAATGGTCATCAAGAAGTGGTTAAGTTACTCTTTAGTGAAAAGGCTGATCCTAACATTCAACACAATGATGGCTGGACAGCACTCATTGCAGCTAGTCAAAATGATCATCAGCAAGTGGTTCAGTTACTCATTAATAAAAAGGCTGATCCTAACATTCAAAAGAATAATGGCGCAACAGCGCTCATGGTAGCTAGTCAAAATGATCATCAAAAAGTGGTTGAGTTACTCCTTAAGGAAAAGGTTGATCCTAGCATTCAAGACAATGATGGCAGTACAGCACTCATGTTAGCTAGTCAAAATGGTCATCAACAATTGGTTGAGTTACTCCTTAAGGAAAAGGCTGATCCTAACATTCAAGACAATGATGGCATGACAGCACTCATGGAAGCTAGTCAAAATGGTCATCAACAATTGGTTGAGTTACTCCTTAAGGAAAAGGCTGATCCTAACATTCAAGACAATGATGGCTGGACAGCACTCATGGAAGCTAGTCAAAATGGTCATCAAGAAGTGGTTAAGTTACTCTTTAATGAAAAGGCTGATCCTAACATTCAAGACAAGGATGGCATGACAGCATTCATGCTAGCTAGTCAAAATGGTCATCAACAAGTGGTTGAGATACTCCTTAATGAAAAGGCTGTTCCTAACATTCAAAGCAATGATGGCATGACAGCACTCATGGTAGCTAGTCAAAATGGTCATCAACAAGTGGTTGAGTTACTCCTTA